AGGGAGGGATGGATGGAGGGATGGATGGATGGAGGGGTGGATGCAGGCAAGGAGGGAGGGATGAAAGAGTGGATGGGTGGGTGGATAGATAAATGGATAAGTGGATTGGGTAGATAAATGGATGCATGCATGGGTGGATACATGAGTGGACCTCCTTAAGCCCTTTGGAGCTGGGTCACATGGCCATTTATCCATTCCTCCACTCATCAATCCATTCATGAATCCATGGACCCATCCATCCATTTATCCATCTGTCTGTCTGTCCATCCATTCATCCACGAATCCATCCATCTCTCCATCTATGCATCTACCCAAGCATACAGGAGTCCATCTGTCTACCCACCAGTCCACTTATGCATCCATCCATCTGGACATCCATTTATTCTGCCCTCCACTCATCCATCCATTCATGAATCCATGGACCCACCCATGCATCCACCCATGCATGCATGCATCCGTCTATCTACCCACTCATCCGTTTATCTATCCATCCACCCATCCACTCTTACATCCCTCCCTCCCTCCCTTCATCCATCCTTGCTTCCCTCCCTCTCCCTCTCTCCCTCCCTCCCTTCATCCATCCCTGCCTCCCTCCCTCTTTTCCTCCCTCCCTCCCTCTTTTCCTCCCTCTCTCCCCCTCCCTCCCTCAATCCTTCCCTCCCTCCATCCATCCACTCTTCCCTCCCTCCCTCCCTCCCTCCATCTCATTCACCTGTTATTTAGCATACATCACCTTCCAGGTAGATTACTTTCTATTGTATAGAGAGACGGTGGAATTGATGAAAAATTTGAAGTTGAAATCACTAGGCCTTGAAAGACGTTTCTGTCTAATGTTTGAATGCCAGGAAAGCAGCACGTTTAGTCAAAAACTTCAGAAGACCCTTCTTACCAGGACAGTTGAGAGAGAGGGTCACAGCCCTGGATACTAACACTGTTTTCTGCAACATCTTTCAAATCTTTGTGTTATTTCTGCTGTGCTCTGTGCAGTTGGAAAATGCTAACTAGCGTGTCTCTTTTCTTTCCTTTTTTCTTTTTCCCTCTGAAAGCACATGTTTTCTTTTTTCCCCTCCACAGTGTTCCTTTTCTTGGGTTTTCTGTCCAATTACTGAGCTTTGAGCTCAGAGATTTGTTCCCGTGGGTGGCTTGGAGTTTAGGACTGCAGCCCACCATTCAACCGCAGTTCTTAAAACTAAAAAGCCTAGCTCTGCACATGTAGATAAAAAGCACATTATCTTTCAAAAAGGTTGGAATAAAAAAAAAATGCACGCACTGGGTGAGTATCTAGGCAACTGGGAACACGGGCTCAGCATAGGCTGGAGAGGCAGATAATCAGATTCTTTTTTAGTCGCGCTGGCCTGGAACCTGGCGGCACGGCCGGGGCACAATCGCTGCTTTGTTGCAGCCAGTGTTTGTGTGCCGACCGTGCCAGCGGCCTTCCAGAGGAGGCCAGGGCCCCAGCGCCTCTGCTCGCACTGGGGAGCAGGCTGGCAAACGCTGCGGCCGCACGGGGTCCCTCTTTTCAGGAGCGATGGACATCTTGGGCGGAGGACAGGGAGCCGGCGATGGCTGTGGGCCGCGGCAGAGGGCCGGGAACACAGCCTTCTGGGGATCTGATATTCGCCCTGGGGGAGTGGATGAGAAAGAAGAGCCCGCTGCAGAAATCACGAGGAAGAGTGTTCCAGGCCGAGGGAACCGTGCGCACCTTCAAGCAGAAGGAGGAAAACAGGCAGACAGGCCCGCCGCGCGCGAGAAGCTGGAGCGAGGGGCGTGTGTGCGGCCAGCATTCCGCCGGTCCAGTCTTCTGGACTTCAGTTCTCCCCAGCTGCGTCAGTGTTAGCTTCTTGTTGCTGCAGTAATAGCTCAAGTAATAGCTCTCTGTCTCTCGAGGCCCTGGATTCCTTCACCTGCGGAGTCCCTTTCTCCACCCTGGGCAGCCCGGGCCCAGGTTCTGGGACAAGGACAGACGCGTCTTGGGGCGCCGTGTCCCGCCGGCCGCTGTGTCCTGCCGCGAGCTAACACCTCCGGCACTCACAGCAGCCTGTGGAGCTTGTGCAATGGCCCAGGCCTACAGGGGGAATAAATGTTTGCGGGCACCTGGCTCCGGAGTCTTCCCC